TGGCGGAAAAACAAATTCAACCGCAAGCTTAAACTTGGAATAGCCAAGTTGAGTAAGCAAGCGGATGAATATGCTGCACAACTGAACGAATCCAATTGGATAGAACGGTGCAATGTTGTAGCTAAAGAAATGAATACAAGGAAAGCATAGTGCCTTTTTCGAACTCTCGTGGACCCCGCCCAAACCCGAGAAGAAGCGCAAAAGCAGCTCCGTCGAGCCCTTCACAGTTTTCAGGGAACCAACTCCCAGCTGGCTGATGATTTGTGTGCTAGATACCTATGTCGCACCGCGGATCCCAACAGGAACGCATATGAATACGCAGGTAGAGAAAACAGTCAGCTCGATGCCCCTTTTGAAATGTGCGATCTGAAAGCAGCACTGAAAAAAATGCGCAGGTGCACTGCCCCGGGCCGAGACCTGATCACGGTAAAACTGTTAGCAAATCTGTCAGACGATTCTTATCGGCATCTTTTGCAGTACATTCACGCGATCTGGGATGGCCAACCAATGCCAACTGAATGGAAAACAGCAGTTTTCACATTCATCCCCAAACCAGGCAAGCAAATCAGCACGGACAACCTCAGACCTATATCATTAACTTCATATGCCGGCAAATTGATGGAAACAATGGTTAGAGACCGTCTCGCCACGTACCTCGAGAGCAAGGGGCATTTCGCACATTCCATGTTTGGCTTTAGGCCGCACCTGTCTGCGCAAGATATCCTCTTGCAACTAAAACGAGACATTATCCAACCCATTCCCTCGACGCACAACTACAGAGCGATCCTTGCACTAGACCTTAAAGGCGCATTCGACAACGTTAAACATGAAAGCATCCTGAAAAACTTGAGTAGTGTCCATTGCGGTAAGAAAATATTTGCCTACGTCAGAGACTTCCTCTCTGAGAGACTGACGTTCATTCGCATAGATGACGAGGAACATGGACCATTCAAAATGGGGACGCGGGGAACCCCGCAAGGAGCTGTCCTGTCTCCGCTGCTATTCAACATTGCCATGATGAAGCTCCCGCAAGCATTGGCAGTAGTGGAAGGAATATATCATGCAATATACGCCGATGATATAACAATCTGGACGAATCGGGGCAGTTTAGGAGAAATTGAAGACCGCCTGCAGCAGGCCGCCTCCATTGTGGAGGACTATGTGGCCCAGTGTGGGTTGCAGTGCGCTCCACCCAAATCTGAATTCCTGCATATCAGAGAAAACATTAAAGATAGGACGACCCTGAACTAGATGGTATCAGGATCAACAATACGAGAGGTTTCAGAACTACGAATGTTTGGCCTTCTGATTCACAACAGAACAAAAAACAGCACCACGCTAGACAAGCTACGGAAAATTGGAGAACAGGTAGGGCACATGATCCGCCGAGTGTCAAACAAGCGCGGGGGGCTACGAGGAAGGGACGCGATTCGGCTCGCCAATGCTTTTGTAACTAGCAGGATTCTATATTCAATACCGTACTTACGAATGACTAAACATGAAGAGAACAGAGTCGATGCTATTCTTAGGAAAGTAATTAAGCGCGCACCTAATTTACCCATCAGCACTTCAAATCAGAAACTCTCTGCATTGGGAGTCTTTAACTCTATACAAGAGCTCCAAGAAGCCCACCTCACAAATCAATATACACGTCTTACGCAGACGCCCCCCGGGCGGCGCCTACTGGACCGCCTCTTGATCCGGCACGAATGCGAAATCGAAAACGCGGAGCGTATTACTGAACTTTGGAGAACAAAACTCTGGGTGTCCCCGCTTCCCCGCAATATGACCAGGGAGGCGCACCAGGGTAGAAGGCAAGCGCGCGCTGAGGCACTTGAACAACGGCTTGGCTCCCGTAATGGGGTCTATTACGTCGATGTGGCCGGGCCGTCACCTAGGGGATACTACACGGCGGCGGTAATATATCAAGGAACGCAGGTGGATGGCCTCACTTTCAAAGCCACAAGCTCAAGTAAGGCGGAGGAGGTGGCCATTGCACTGGCAGTATCCCATCCAAACTCAAAACAAATAGTTACAGACTCTCGAAGAGCCTGCGAGAGCTATCTTGCAGGAGAAATCTCTCTATTGGCTAATAGGCTTTTAAAATTCAGCATCAGCAACCGCGATCCTACCCCAAAACGTCTTATATGGACTCCGGGACATCAGGGTCTACAGGGTAACGAGGCTGCACATGGAGCGGCCTGCGTGCTTACTTCCCGGCAAACTCCCCGTTCCCCTGATAGACCTGAACGTCCCACACCTTTAACACGGTTTCGAGAAATCAAATAATACCACATTGAGCAACGCCGCTTGTATCCCGCACCAGCGAAGGTACTCTCGAAAACGGAGGAGCGCATCCTGCGGCGCCTACAGACAAATACGCTGCTCTGTCCAGCCATACTCAAATATTACGACCCAAAAACAAGTGGGCAGTGCCAGTACTGTGGGGAAGTGGCCAACACTTACCATATGGTCTGGGCCTGCCAAATGAACCCAAAATTAACCCCCTTTCCCAACCCCACCAAAGAGGACTGGGAGACGACCCTACTCAATAGCTCCACACTAGAGGAACAGCGAACTCTAGTCCAGCGGGCTCGGGTGGCGGCCTCGACTAATGACGTCCCGGACTAGAGATGTCAACCAGCCCGGTGGGGATAAGGGCTATCTGGCACAGCCAGCATCAATAAAGGTTTTTTCCTCCCTCCTCCTCGCCACTGTCCTGACAGGAATGCTGCATCGAGCTGATAACGTACATGCTGTTCGTGTTCTGAAAGTGCCGGGCGTGCGGCGATAACTCAACGACATCCACGCATTTGTTAAATGACGATTATTGTTGAGGGACAAAAAGACGCTCCATTAACAGCGGAGCTTTATGCGAGCCGTTGGTTGCAATCTGTCATTAGAAACCTATCGTAAAGCGGTACCTGTTATCAGGCGTGTAGCCAGAATTATATTTTCGGAGAAGGGGGGTTCAGCCGTAGATATATGTATGGTCACGTGTGCGTGCATATGTGGACGTGCATATAACGCAAGCAAAATTTACCCATGCGCGTTATGTTCATACTCTTCTCTATCTTTTCCTTCGCTCCGTGCGCTGATTTGTCCGGCGTCGGATGGAATAACTCTGGTGGGTGAGAGAACGAGAGTAGAAAGAGAGAGAAATAGGTAAGAGGAACTAGAAAGTGAGAAATTCTTCGCGAAAGAAAGCAAAAATCCCGATAAAGCGGGGTTCGAGCACGCGTACTCGCGAATCGAAGGTGAGCATCGTAAACAATCGGCAATATCCAGACACGCTAGCAGAGCGTAACATATCCCTGTATTGTTTAGTATACGAAGAGGGCGGGAAAAGGAAGTGAGGTTGAGAAATGGTGGAGAGAGTAAAGCGTATAGCAAATAGAGAGCAAGAAAGAGAAGAAAAATGGGAAGAGACAGATTCAAGGAGAGACATAGACAGAAAGGGAAATTCGCTGGCGGCGGAAAGTTGTCTTTTCATCCACCATCCTAATCTGTATCGTAATAAATATTATACGGTTAATGGAGTACGATTAACGTCCCCTATACTTTCCTTGGCTTCATTGTATGTTGGTTTTCATTGAATACGCACATGTGCAAAGATGTGAACTATTTTCTTGTTTCACAGCTTTACTCATTTCACTAACTTCCAGTTGAAACCCATTGGTGTATCGGCAAAAACTAATGGGAGGCAAGTGGCTCAACTTCCGTCTCACCATAAAATTCTCAATTAGTAATTCGATCAATCTCACCCCTAATTGATTGATATGTGGAGTTTAACGTCCCAGAACCACCATATGATTATGAGAGACGCTGTAGTGGAGTGCTCCGGAAATTTTGACCACCTGGGGTTCTTGAACGTGCACTCAAATCTGAGCACATGGGCCTACAGGATTTCCGCCTCCATCGGAAATGCAGCCGCCGCAGCCGGAATTCAATCCCGCGACCTGCAGGTCAACAGCCCAGTACCTTGGCCACTATAGACCACCATGGTGGGGAAATCTGACCCCTCATCTCGCCATGAATATGTAAGGAATGAATCCCGACTGGGCATATAACGAGGCCGAACTGAAACTGTTTTACAAAACACTAATTCAACCCGTATAGCAATTTCCAGCTGGTTTCATACAACGTTGTCGAATTCGAAGGCTTGACTCGTAATGGTGTTCAAACATACCGAACCGAAGAACAATTTTTAGCGCGGGTTTACTCAACTGTGATTGCGCACTTAGCTGTACTATTGAACAATCCACTAGGATGTCCAAATGAAAGACTGTACATCAATTTTCATGGCAAATTGTAACTCTCAATTCTAATTAATCTATCCCCTTGAAGTGCGAAAATTCATTCAAACTGGTGGTCATGGCTAACAAGTAAATCATTAAACAACAATTTTTTTTTTTCGACTGCAATGTTTTGCAAGCGGTTTGCCACTGAACTTGAGCAAGAACGCTTCACCCGAAAGATCACTGACGATTGTCTTCATCAAAAACGAGTGGGGTGTCAGTTGGCAAGGAAAAAGGCCAAGTTCTTCCCCCTGAAATATCTGACGTACATTAATTGAGTGCGTTATATAGGACACATCACGCGTAATGTGTATATTGGAGGGTGTAAACCGTGTAAACGTCACGCTCCCCTTCCGATCACCAGAATGAAATCCGTGCCGTGGTTCTGCGCAGCCATGTAAGTACGCATTGCCTCAAAATTATATTTCACGACGTAAAATACTCTAACGCTCGCCGTATCCTACGCTTTGTCATTGTGTGACAAAGGGGTACGAGTGGCACGAGACCGCACCTCTTTCGAGGCAAGAAACATCGTCGGCTGCCTCCCGCTATTATCTCTCCGAAAAGATAGCGTCACGGGGTAACGAACACGCATGCAGTCGCCAAGTGGGCCCGAATCAAATTCACCCCACACAAGCGGCGGCAAGGGATGAGGGCGAACGAGATAACCGGCGATAACCCTCCCTGATAGGTGACGCCACTTACGTCTGGCTTCCGACAGACAGCGCGGGAGCAGACGTGCTGCACTCTCCAGGCATGTCAGCGTTGTTGTGCAAAGTGCCCCGAGGGCTCACGGCAGCATGTGCAATCACGGTGAGTTCATTTACCGGGGAAAAAAGAAATGCGCTGTTAGCATGTGCATGGATTCGAATACTTGAGCAATTAACTGTATCATATTTGGAGTTACGCCGTTAACGGCGTCGTAAACAAGGTGAAACATTATTTTTCGCGCTCGCCGCATCGCCTAACTTGCTTCCTACACGTACAACAAATGAACGTGTCGTGTGTTTAGTGTTTTTCCCGAAATCCACTGCACACAGGGGCAACAATACTGTAGCTGTGCCCTACGTCTTTCTATGGCGCAGTAAACAAGAAAAAGGTTCTCGGTGTGTTTTTGAGAGGTGGTGAAAAAATTGTTCCTCAAGCGAACAACAGATGTCGCAGCGCGCGCTAGCAGACGATTTTGTTACGAAACCCAGCATGCGTATCTAGCTTAAAACGAGTGAAACGTTCGTAATTTTGGTTCTATACGGTGTTCCTTTCAAATTTTTGGACGTTTAAAGGGTTCGCCAAACGGCTGCTTGTGCTTACTGTTGTGGTATCGTTGCCAGGTGATACTATGGCGATTGTAAACCGCGCGGACCGCGCGTCCCCCACTTCAAAATTTCCTAAAATTAGGTCAGTTACGAGGTCGCCGGGTCAGCTCGTCCTAGAACCGATGACTTCACTGGGACTTCGCGGTAGACTTTCGGAACGTTTCCCGGTGCCCTCGAATCATGGCGAAAATTGCGATCGTGGCAGCGCTGCTCTTCGCCCTTCACGGCCTCGCGAGGAACGCTTGTGTGCACAGGAACTACGGCAAAGGTAGCACCGTGTGCGTGTGCACCGAAGAACACTGCGATCTGCTCGGAAGTGTGGAGAAACAGGAAACTGGCGTCGCTGGCGTCTACGAAAGCAGCAAGGACGGATCTCGATTCCTCTCGACCACCATCGAGTTCTCGCAAGTCGACATAAATTTCACCGCTCTGCCTCGGACGCACAGTGTTATTCGCGTAACGCCGAACGTAACTTACCAGGAAATAATAGGCTTCGGCGGATCATTCACCGACGCTGCCGGCAGCAACCTGCTTCGCCTAAGAGAACCGCTTCGCACCCGACTTCTAGAAGCGTACTACTCGGAAGAGGGCCTCAACTACAACCTAGGACGAGTGCCGATCGCAAGCTGCGACTTCTCGATGCGCGTGTACTCGTACGACGACGTTTCCGACGACTTCGAGCTTGCCAATTTCAGCCTCGGACCCGAAGACATCAACTTGAAAATCCCCTTTATCCAACAAGCCCATGAAATGAACAAAACGGACCCCTTATGGCTCATAGCGAGCCCATGGAGCGCTCCAGCTTGGATGAAAACGAACAGTCACATGAGTGGAAGGGGTACGCTCCGAGGAAGCCCGAACGGTACGTATTACAAGACGTGGGCACAATATTTCATCAAGTTTCTGGATGCCTACAAGGATCACAATGTAAGCTTCTGGGGCCTCACTCCTCAGAACGAACCGACATCTGGCTTCGTTCCATTCTACCCTTTCCAGACGATGGGTTTCACTGCTGCTAGCCAGCGTGATTTCATCAAGTTTGACCTTGGCCCCGCTCTTGAAACGGCAGGCTATGGAGCTGACAAGGTGAAGTTGTTAATTTTGGATGACCAACGAGCCTTTCTCCCTTACTGGGCTAACGTTGTCCTCGCTGACGCTGAAGCTGCAAAATACGTCTCCGGTATAGCCTTTCATTGGTATTGGAATCACATAAGGGGTGCCCATGTGCTCACGCAAACTCACAAGAGGCACCCTGACAAGTTTCTTTTGGCAACAGAAGCATGTGAAGGGTCGTCGTCTCTCTCAAAAAACAGGGTGATCCTTGGGAGCTGGAAGCGTGCTGAAAGCTACGCTTTGGACATCATCCAAGACTTGCACCACTGGACCACTGGCTGGATCGACTGGAACCTCGCTCTGGACACCATGGGCGGCCCAAACTGGGCTCACAACTACGTTGACGCTCCGATCATCGTGAACGTGACATCCAAAGAGTTCTACCAGCAGCCGATGTACTACGCTTTGGCACACTTCAGCAAGTTTCTGCCACGAGGTTCGAAAAAAATTGAATCCGAGCCAGCACGAAAACTTGACACTATAGCGTTCCTCAGGCCAGACAATGCTATAGTGTTAGTGATTCTAAACAGGCAATCTTTTCTGAGAACTTACACTATTGTGGATGAACAGCTTGGTAACCTGAATTATAGCATACCAGGAAATTCTATTCAGACTTACATTTGGTGGTTGCCCTAAGTGTACTATCTTGACTTAGTAACTTATGAAACTGTCTTGCGTTTTAGGTGTATGTACGTTATTATATGTTGCATTTCCCGAGTTGCTCAAGCAAGAATATTGTGAAATTTCAACGGGAGGCTTGCTTCATGACATTTTTGTGTGCCAGTCTTTCTTTGTAGTTTGTTTGCATGGCAAGAGAAAGGGAATATTCATTTACTAGCTCACTATAGCCCTCTAAAATAGGTGCATTATGTTTAGTCAAGTTCCGTGTGCAAGGTTGGTGCCAGATTCAACTACCGCACTCCCTTCAATATTAGCTTGCCTGATTGAGGTAGATTCTTGTTATTAAGTGTCCTTTTAAAAAGCCTGTGATGTTTAGACTTGTGATAGTTAGACCCGTATTGGGGCTCCGAAATGTTGATTCTGTTGTTTTATCATTTTTTTAAATGGCGAGCGTACATTTTCTTGAACCATAATTTTTCCTCACCAGAAGAGTTTATGTGAAATCCTAGACTTTTATTAGACTCATTTGATATATTGTTGAAGTTTTATGTCTTGAAATACGCACCATTCTAGCTTAGTGGATTGATAATGCGGGCAAAGCAATGCTCTGACCACTCACAAAGCCCAAAAAGGCACTGCATTGGCAAAAGCATTGCTGCAACATCGCAGCTCTTGTTTCAATAGCCACATTCCAAAATACTTTGAATGCATTAATACTCATGCACAATAGCCCAAGTGCAAATAATTTTGAGCGATCATAAGTGTTCTGTGTTAGCCTTCTACTATGGTGAATATAGTAGCAACGATATTCACATAGCTGCTACATTGAGCAACAGCCATCATTATGTGTAAACAAAAACAAAAATCTGCATACCAGCTTGGAGAGAGCTGGCTAACCGTTTATAAACATTCCATATTCAGTAGCAGCACAACTTTTGTGGTTAGAGTTTGTAATTTTAGTTGCAGCTCTCTGTTATCCAGTTGTAATAACTACATTGTGTCACAATTTTCACCTGATTAAAAAGGTTTATTTAGTGAACATGCACATTATTGTCATTAATATGGCTCTATTCCATCAATCTTCGTGTGCAGTGTTCACAAAAATTAATAGGGCAGCAAAATATATTTAAGTGTAAGAACTGGTACGTGCTGCTGTTTGTGATAATCACCTCATGTCATTTTAAGTCTGGCCACTAAAGATCATCAGGGCTCTGATAAAAGTGAGTGAGCAAAAATTGTGTTTATATGACACCAATCAACGATGGTGGAAATAAAAGTATGTGCTATATTACTAGGCTCGGTCCCTGCTGCCAGCAATTTATTCTTTCATCCACTCTACCTTGTTCAAATTTATATCATAACTACTTCAAATAACATCCTTTATACTTTCCTTGGCATTATTGTCCATTAGGTCTATTAGTTCTCATTAATATTGCATCTAATAGAGAAAAATGACTGAATAAACTTCCCCTTCTTTCCTTCCTTAGCTCTTAATTGGAGCATCTGATTTTGTAGGCACAGGACTAGTGCTCAACAAACTTTTTTTTTTTTAACACGAAAGTGTTTTATGTCGAGGTCCACCACGGCTCCGCTGACTGATTTACGTCAAGGATATCACTGTGTAAATTATATACTAACAGATTGCAGAGAGAAAAAAAAAACACGAATTAAATCTTCTGCCATTGGTCATTGAAACAGCAACCTCTCAATCTGCAGCGCGTGGCGCTAACGACTTGACCACGAAGCCTACATTGTGTAAACTGCTAACAGCAAGCTATTTATACACATGATATACCATCTGGCTGTCCTCAGAGCTTCATTACTTCAGCACGTTGTCATCATCGGTAGCGAGATGGCGCGAAGAGCTCGCGTTGGGCCCGCTCGCTCTAAAGATCAACGCTCGCATTTCGATGAGGGCCGCCTCCAGTGGTCTCTCCTGTACATGCGTTGATCATATTTGTGACATAGGAGAGCACGAAGATCACTTTGCTCACTGGCGCGCCCGCGTTTATTGAAGGAGCACGCTGCTCATACACGAGCTAAGAATTGTGACAGTAGTTCGCGCTTCTTCTGTGTATACTTTTGCGTTTGTTTTGCGAGTCTCTTTCTGTTCGAACAGCGTGATTTAAGAGTCGAGCTATGTCAGTTGCTTGTTCGTGCTCGTCCTGCGTATGCTCATTTCGTGCGTGCTTTGTGCTTGAGGTGCGTGCTGCAAGTTTCAAGCTGCTTGCCGTTCTTCGTGTGACTTTGCATTTTGTTGCTACAGCATTCATTTCTTTGCCCTTGTGGCAAAACAATGCACAATCAACGCTCAACTATCTCTGTGAAAACACGTTTCACTTGCACGTTATACCAATTACTAGAAGAAGGGATCAGTGGCATTTTTTTTAATGTCATGCCAGCAAGCCCAAACAGCTGCACTGATGTGATTCTAGCATGGCAACTGGTGACACGTACACACACACACACACTATATGTAGAATGTCAGCTGCATTCAGGACTTCGTCCTTAACTGAAGCCAAAAAGCATTTCAAAATCTACACTAAAATAATTTTGGCAGATCAGATTCAGCCAAAAAGAAATGAGAAACATAGCTGGGAAGATTAGTGCATAAATCAGACTAAAGCATAGGCTGAGGCATAAGCTCGAGAACTTTTCAACAGAGTGTCTGATGCTGAGAATACTGGAAAGAAGGCTATGCAATACGTATAAATAAATACTGTAACCATGAGAACGATGACTAGTACATGAATCCGGGATACTGCACAGCTTGGCCTATAAATCCCATGATAGCTTTATTTTTTTCCTGAATGACTCGTTTTTGATGACATGAAGTATTTTCACAATGCTATAATAAGTTAACAAGTGATAACCTACAACATTGATGAAAATTAATAACTAACTTTTCCTAAATTCAATGGGCTGTTGTGTGTTCTTGACTTGACTTTTTGTTGTCACTTTATCTAACACATTCCTCATTTAGTATTTTGTGTGCCTTATGTAATGCTACAAGCATCCTACTTTAAATTGTATCTGGCTAAGAGGTGGAAATAACATTTAAGAGGCCCTGAAACGCATTTTTTATTAACCATGGAATTAATTCACTGGAAAAGCGTATTGCATCACAAATTCAACGCCGCAAAAATTTTAACAATCCGTCCAGTACGAGTGGAGTTACGAAGATTTGTCACACGCTGCAATACAATTCCCTCTTCTCTCGTCTCAACGAAAGCACTGGAAGCTAAGCAGGAAGGGTGGGAGGAAAAAAAAAAACAACACGCACGCTTTGTGACCTTGAGCACTTTTTTCTTTTTCTTCTTCGAATACATGGCTTTTTCAGTGTGATCGCGCTAGCACGCGTGGACAAGTGACAGCCTCCCGCAGAGATCTCTGCAACGACCGAGCGCGCCATGTTCAAATTAGCCAATGGCCGATAGATGGGCTTACTACGAGTGATTTTTGGGCTTATTGCGTGATTTGTCGAGAGAAGCGAAAGCAATGTTTAGCTGACTTTGATAATTTATTGTGAATTCCAGGCCGCATGCTGCGCTATAATATTTGGCTCGCGTGTTGTCGGGAGCCACTACTACCGATCGGCAGCATTTTCTCACTATGCTCAAAAAGTATTGCAGGGCCCCTCTAAGATACAACTATATTACCAAAGCTCTTAGCAGTACTCAAACGGAGTCTCAAACTGCAGTCCATGTTTCAACCACACTTACTTTATTTCCCTGAGAAATTGCTGAGACCCAAGTTAACACTGTGGTAATGAAAAACACCCTTATTGAAATGTTCACTTCAGAACTGTTACTTTGTAAAGAGCTATTTACGACATCACCACGCTAAGCTTTCTCTGGGCTACGCTGCTGTTTAGTTGTGACTGAAATAAAAAGAAAGAAAAAACAGGTAAAACTCATCTTGAGGTCAATTTTGATTTTTACTGAAGAAAATCGGTGCATCCTTCTGATTAAGGATGCACTGCTGGGTGAGGTGGTAATTCATCTTAAAACAGTGATGTGCAAAAGAATGATAACAAAAGAAGTAAAACGTACAGGACACAAGCTATCTACTCGAGAATTTACAGAAACAAAAAGAAATTAAACAAACACTGCAGACATGCTCCGACGTCCTTAAAATTTTCAGCACGTTCATGCGCGAATTTACGCATTCATAAATATTCACCTATGCATGATAATCATTTACGTATAGAAACATTTTAAAAATTACTTCATTGAGGGTCATTTCCAGGTCGCGATCAACTGCATGAAAAGTTCACCGAGTACTGGTGCAACCTTCGAACCTATGTGCTGAGACAGTAACTCCAGAAATGATCTTCCAGACACACCACACTTGTCCTGAAACTTTACGACCTGGAAATGGCTTTGGATGGAATTGTCGTTAAAAATGTTTTAGTGCGTGGATGATTTTATCATGCTGAATGCTAATGGATGTGTGTATTCACATATGAATGTGCTGTAATTTTTCAAGGACATTAGTTTGGCATCAGCAGTTCACCTTTCAGCTTCCTACTAACAACTGCATTCAGTCTTTAAACTTGAAAGTTGTATTTCATTGTGTGTCATGCCTGCCGGATGTATGCACCAAAAAGTGCGAAGTCTGTCCTTGACTTTTGATCTGAACATTTAAGAGGCCATTCAACAGGCTGAAACTTCTTTCTATTTTACACCCACCAAAAAAGCTCGGCACTTCAAAGAGTAGACTGCGGCGATCACATTTTCCAAATGCTACAGTGCTGCGAATCACGGAGAGCCTTCATTCTAAAAAACAATTCTCGCGCTCCTTTCTTACGCCTGACCAATCCTCCTTTTATGAGCAGTGACGCAAAGTCGTCGATTGGCGACTTGACGTAGCATGCAGCTCGTCGGTTGGTCTAAACCAGTCACCACGATGGGCTATGCCTTGCCCTCCCTGTGAGGGAGAAGGGTGGCGAGGCCGCACGAAAATTCGAAACCAGCTGAAAACGATGTTCTAACCCCCGTAACTTTCTTAATATAGCACGTATTCACAAAATTCTTGCTGCAGCATGTTCACGAAGCGAAAGTGTACATCATACTCCTAATAACAATTTTTGGACTTTGGGGTTGTTTACTGGCCTTTTAAAAGTTGTAAAAAACACTTTACAAGTGTCATATTTGAAAGCAGCGCTGAAAAAACCTTGTCTGCATAAGATAAAAGAAAATCTCTCGAGGCAACTGGACAGTTCCTGAGAACCATTTGGCATGATAGAAAAGGTTCTGCAGGACATGAAAGCAAAGGCAAGAGGCTCTGAGCTCAGTGAGAGAAAGAAAGTACAAGCATGGTATGGATGCAAGGTTTTATTTTCGGATGGCAGCATTTGCACATTTTAGAGAGGAAGGCGAAAGGAGAGGAGCAAGACAACAGGTCAAGCACTAGGCCAAGGAGGTTGAATGCGCTGGAAGTGTTACATTGGGCAAACTAGGCATTGTATGAATCACAATAGGCTGCTGGATCATAAAGCTCCACCAAAGGGACAGCCATTTTCCAAACTGTCTTCACACTGTAGAGAATGTTGCTTGCTGACACGCCAGTGCAGCGCAAGTTCAAAGTTAAGGTAATAAGGGTAACTAAAGAAGCCTATTTCATTACCAAAGCAAATGTCACATGTCAGAACGCCCTTGGTCATGTTACTTGCCGCTGGGTTTGACTTCCTGGAAGCGCATCATTAAAATAGTTTTTGCCTGGCTCATGAGTTTTTTTGCACATGTTAATTTAACCACACATGTATGGCTGTTTGTTTCATTGAATTTCAGAGTTGATAGCTTGCCCTGTATGTATTCCTTCAACTTTTAAGAAACATCACTTGTTTTTGGACAATAATAAAAAAAAATGTTCAAATTTTCAATATGTTAAATAATCACAAATAGACACTAAATAATCATTTTACATTTGTAATGGTAATGTTATTGACATAAGAGACAATAGCAAAGCTTACGATGATAGTAGTTAATGGGCCATATATGCACATTGTCCCTAAAGCACGATTCTTTCCCCTGCCCTTTTCAGAAAACTGTCACACGAGGCACTGTGCCTGTGCTACAGAGGCTGTCTCATTCGGCAGTCAGTCATCCGACACAGCTTCAGCAAGAAGACCCAGAAATGTGGGAGCTACTCAAGGAAGAGAAACAGCGCCAAGTCTCTGGCCTAGAGCTTATTGCATCTGAAGTACGTTCCTTGCAACCTGTTGCTCACAGTGTTCGTTCTGCATCTGACGAGTTTGGCGCCTGTCTATTGTTTATAATTTTAGCCTGTTCGGCATGCATGCTTCTTGTGGTTGGTCAGTTCTTCATGTACTCTGGCTTAGTGAAATGTTTGTGCAGCAATGAAAAATGTGCTATCCCGCATCACATGTTTGCATATGTGGGGCTCAAATCTTTGCGGAAGTGTGGGTTATCTGCTTTTATAACCCTTGCTGTACAATTACTTTCAGAACTTTGCTAGTCAATCTGTCCTCGAAGCACTGGGATCTTGTCTGAATAATAAGTACTCGGAGGGATATCCTGGCGTAAGGTATGGTTATTTCACTTTTATGCGATGTTGGCTTTCAGTGAAAACCTAAAAACTTACGTAAATAAGTTTAAAAGAGCCAGCACTGACAATACCCTTGCACTTGTATTTGTAAAAAGTAAATACCTATGATCCACTGAGTGTTAAGTCTAGTTAAATAGTTTATGAATAAGGTTTGTTATAAGTGATAGTTGAGAGAGAGAGAAGGAATAAAGTAAATGTAGAGAGGTTAACGAGACTACGTCCAGTTTGCTACCCGAAACAATGGGAGGGGTATAAGGGTGAAAGAAAGAGAAATTTGCACTGTGAGCACCATTTGGCCTAGTGATGCGAGGGAAAAGGCATGTCTTGGAAAACATTTTACGAGCAGTTACATTTTAGGTAATACAATGTATTCAATAAAAAAAATCTGTCCAGTGTTTATATATGCAAAAGCTCAAAAGCATCTTCACGAATGCATACTTGCAGGTACTATGGTGGCACAGAAGTGGTGGACAAAATCGAACTACTCTGTCAGAAGAGGGCCCTCGAGGCGTTCAGTTTAGACCCAAGCAAATGGGGCGTCAACGTCCAGCCATATTCGGGTTCTCCTGCAAATTTTGCAGCCTACACTGCCGTGCTGCAACCACATGACAGGATCATGGGACTTGACTTACCCGATGGGGGACAGTAAGTGCACTTAGGCATTGTTTTTAAAGAAATTACTGCTATACATGGCTTAGCGTTTCATTTCCTGTAAGGAAGGCATGTTTACTGGTGGTGTACAATGTAATGATCTTACTTCCGTTACCAGCCTTACCCATGGCTACATGACGGACCAAAAGAGGATATCCGCAACATCTATATACTTTGAATCCATGGGTTACAAATTAAATGTGAGCTAATCCTTTGGAACTTCTCATTTATGTGTGCTTTAATAACACTGCTCAAAGGCTGTGTATCTTGTTTCATAGTTTAACATTTTGTTTTACTGTTCTCACCCGACTTTTCATTCCAGTAGAAAGAAACGGGACTAATCGACTATGAGAAGCTACATGACATGGCGCGGCTGTTTCGGCCGAGGTTGATCATTGCTGGAACAAGCGCTTATGCTAGGTTACTGGACTACAAAAAGTTCAGAGAAGTAAGTGAGTGTGCCGAATGTGAGCACAGCATGTCTAAATGCGCCGATATTAACAAAGAACTACTTGTCCTTGCATGTGAATCTAGGTGTGCGACGATGTCAAGGCAATCCTCATGGCCGACATGGCCCACATTAGTGGGCTCGTAGCAGCAAAGGTGATCCCGTCTCCTTTCGAATATGCCGACTTGGTTACCACCACGACACACAAGACTCTTCGAGGTTCAAGGTCAGCCGAATTGTGATTTCATTATGTACAACGCTGCTTTTTGATTACTCCCGAAATTCACCTCAGCCGCGATTATAAATCGCCAAGGCATTCCCTCCGAGCATGTGCTTATCTCATTTTTCAATGGCGATGCACACGTACAAGCCGAGTAGAGTATTTTGGCGAATTATATGTAACTACAAAATCTAATATAAAAACTTTAATGTTACGTACCAAACTTATACAACACTCCGGCATAGGTAAGTGCAATGAATTAAAAACAGCCATTCACATTTAGTTTTTACTTACAGTTATAAAACTTTAATTGGGCAGTTCATTTGCATTCCTGTTACTATGTGAAAAGGAGTTCTGGTCAAAGTGTTAATGTCTGTGCAATTTGCAAATAAAACCTTGGAAGGCACAACTTTCATTACACGATTAGACACCTGTAAACATAACATCTGTTCAAGACCACACGTTCCTTTGCGATCAATCAGTCGGTTTCAACAAAGAAAACTCTTGGCACCACCTGTGTATCATTGTTAAGAAAAAGCGAATGTGATGGAAATGTTCATTTATTTCAGAGCGGGCCTCATCTTCTTTCGCAAGGGGGTGAAAGAGGTTGACAAGAAAGGGAAAGAAATCATGTACGACCTGGAGCAAAAGGTCAACTTTGCAGTGTTTCCATCACTTCAGGGCGGACCCCACAACCACGCCATTGCCTCTGTTGCTGTTGCTTTAAAACAGGTGTGGCTCAGAGCGCAATAGTTCTTGAGTATAACGAAAAATATATTGTTTTCAGCAAAGGCAGAACGATAATTCCTAGCATGTTACCTTGTAGTCTGCTATTGTACCGGCATTGGTGTAAAAAAGTGACATAGCTTAGATATTACTGTTCACTCAATGTTGTAACTGTAGAGGGTGCGTAGAAATTATATAACATATCTTTGCTGCTTAGGCATCGTTTTCATAGATCACTTGTTTTTGATAGAGCTATAATGTCAGTGCAAACTCATTAACAATTTAGGCATTAACTGTTTTATTACACATCATTTTATCATTATTAATGTCACTACTTGACGCAGTGGTAGGACTTTCTGTATTTTTACTTAAGAAATAGTTTTGACAATGAAAAAAAAAAAACAATGGCTGCAGGCAACTTTCACTTAAACTAGCCTTATGAACCATGAATAATCCTGGTGCGAACTGCTGCAGTGACAAGTAGCTATCCTTTCCTTCGAAACAGCTGCTGTATATTAATTACCACAATATTAATCTGTTTACAGGCAACAACGCCAGAATTTCGTGAATATCAGGAGCAAGTGCTCAAGAATGCCAAAGCAATGGCGACTGCACTGGTGGAGAGAGGCCACACCATTGTCTCCGGTATGTGGGGCGGCTGACAAAAGAGCATAGTAACACTGAATGTTCACTTTGACCGGTCATAACAAACACGGAATCCACGAATTCACAAAAAGGAACAGCCTTCTCTCTGTAAAATGGGTCTCTAACACAATGACACATGTGGTCTCAACTTTCGCACAATGCCTGATTGCATCTCTTCCACGAGCTAATGCTTGAAACACTGGTGGGAGTACAGGAGCCAAAAATAAGTGCTCGAGATCCACTACACAGTTCACTACATTGATTTCGCCACCGTGGTGGTATTGTAGTAGCTCTGCTCAGCTGCCGACCTGAAAGACATGGGTTCCTAGATGTGAAAGTCGCATTACAATGGAGGAAAAATTGTAGCGGTTTGTGTAGTCGGATATTAGCACACGTTGAAAAACCCGGGCAGTTGAATGTATCTGCATCCATCCACTACGGTGTGCCTCATAGTCACATTGTAGCTAAGTCTCGGATATCTGTAAAGGCTGGCCTCCCTACCGTCTTCTAGAGGGTCATTCTCTTTGGCTCCTTTCTGAAGAGAGTTCGTGTTTCACCTTGGCCATCACCATTGTACATTGTTCCAGAGTTCTACCCAATAAACACCTTTACATTATTATGGCTCTGGCTTAGACCTACACCCCAAGAATTATTACATTCTTTTTAAAGAAGAGCTGGTGCATAGCAGTGGTGTAGCCAGTTCTCCATCAAGTGGGGACAGGTTTCACAGACGCTCAACAACAGTGCACTTTTGTACCACGTGATCAGCGCAAACTTGTAAAGCAACTGCTGTCATCTAAAGCCCCTTCATGCAGACTGTTGTTGCCAAAGCAGCAATAAGCTCAAGTTTGTGCTTCTGTGGGAGCAGCTTCAAAATGGCATACTGCAAAACATGGCATTCAGCGATTGACGAAAGGCACTGGCCGTTGAATGGCTGGTTACCTTGCACCATGAGGTAGATCGTATGTGAGGTGCACTGCTGTCGAAGGCATCAGAGTGATTTTAACCACTCAAGTTTCAAGGATGCTGGTATCGTCTCTGCATATGCTTTCATATTCTGGTGTCGAAATATAGTCGCTACGGAAAGGGGTCGTGAAGGAGTGAACATGCTGAGCAGATAATCTCGACCACAAAGCTTTTGCAGTCAACTTGAAATTGCACTACTCACTTGCTTAGCATCATTTTGTGTATAACAACCTGTCAATTTCTTTGTTGTTCAGGTGGCACAGACAACCACCTCCTGCTCTTGGATCTGCGACCAAGAGGACTGGATGGTGCACGACTAGAGGCAGTCATGAATGAATGTAACATCACTGCAAACAAAAACACCTGCCCAGGAGACAAGTCGGCCCTTGTGCCGGGTGGTATCCGCCTTGGTAAGAGTGCCTTCCCACTGAATTCTGTTCTCAAAGTTGTAAAATCACTTTGACAATCTCATAGCTGTATGGTGGGAAAGGCATAGGTTATGGTAAAAACGTGATGCCAGTCACGACCGCACTAATATTGTTGTCATGCATGCATTTTCTGAAGTTGTTAGCTGCTGTCACCAGAAATGGTGTGCAAGTGACAGCAGTTTTCAAAAGCGTTCCAACATTAGCAATTTGTTCTCACTCTGTACAGCACTTATAGTTTTTTATCTGTAGTCTTATTGACGATTGTATTTGTTGGAGACACCAAGCATGTGCACGTAAAAATGCCACAAGGTCTTATCATTTCACTAAATATGGAAAGTCCATGCAAATTTGATGTGAGGCACATTAGGTAACAACTTCATTGCATGGAACTCGTGTCAGCATCTTAAGTTATCTTTGACTACAGCAGAGAGTAGTGTCAATGCCACAAACAATCCAACCGGCTTCCAATAAATATTTGCTATGTTAACATACAATATATTTAATACAACATTATATTACAAAATGCATACCTACACAGTCTTTTTATCATATTTGATCCACTATTTTACACCAGCATAGCATATTTTATCATTTTTCTCACAGTTTGTGAACAGTGAACAGTACGCTGCAGTGTCCTAGTGTGCTGTATTGACTCATTTACTGTGCTAGTGATGGCTAATTTTGTTGGCTAAATGATGTTCTTGGTAATGAATACAGGGAGCAAAAGAAGCCTGCTATGTATAACACAGTGCATCTGTGAAACCACTGAAACATTACAGGTGCACCTGCCCTGACATCAAGGAACTTCAAGGAGAAAGACTTCCACAAAGTTGTAGAGTTCATTGACAGAGCAGTTACTATAGCCCTTGAAGCCAAGCCAAAAGCAGGTGATCTCTTCTTTTTTTTTTTCATGGGCATACTGTAATTTGTATGTACCCTTACGATATTTACCTCAAGCCATGATTCTGCTGGTATCATTTACACTGCACATCAGTTCGTTAAGCAAATACTGCCTCCTTAACCAAATAATGGATGCATGAAAACATAAGAGGTGAAATTGGTTTCACTTGTATCACATTGGTCTTATACAATACCAAACACACCACACTTGGCAATAAAAAAAAACATAAATGGGAATGCCATTCTTGAGGTTCCCACTTCAAAAAAATGCCGCCATATCCACGAAGTGAATGATGATGAGTGGGCGAAGCTCCGGAGGTAAACCTGGTAAACCATGAATCCTCCGTACATTTTGCCCACTCGATTTTTTTGCAACGCTCCCCCTAGCGTACGTCGCCGCACTATATCGAACGATGACACGCGCCATATGTGGCATCATTCCTATTTTATAACACCTCGCATCTTTCATAATCAACTACACGTACCGCCGTCTAGTTTAAAACATCTTGCATCTTTTGGATGGACGGATGGACGGACGGACGGACGGACGGATGGATGGATGGACGGACGGATGGACGGATGGATATGGCTGTACCCTTTAGATCGGGCGGTGGCTAGCATAATACTTAGAACTGAACGAGAGGTGGCTACATACAGGGGACGCACAGCCCACGCCTTAAGGAGCTTCGCTCCTAAAATGGCATTGTCAAACTCTGTGAACCCATTGTGGCCTCACAGAGTTTGACAGTGTCTGCTAGAGCCTACATACTATTTGAGTGAAAATTAACAACCATGCTGTGTTTTAAATCGGCCATAGACTTGGCATTTCAAGTTGTGGTAAACTCTACTGAACCAGCGTGACCAACATATAAAATAGACATAAGAATCCATAAGAATCTAAGGCGCGGAAAGCCAGGGTGCGAAATAACCAGGTTGGAATTCCTGATGATGCCAGAGTATTTGTTAATGAGCATCTCTGCCCGGCGTTGAAGCGTCTTCTTTCACTTGCCTTGGCAAGAAGGCGTGAATATCAGTGGTGCTTTGTATGGACGCGAAACGGAAAGGTACTTGCGCGCAAAACTGAGGCTAGCAGTGTAATCCATATTGCTTCGGAGGCTGACCTTCAAAAGATCGCGTAGAATACGGTCTACGTAATCTTAAAGTCTTCATATGTTTTTTTACTACACAATGTATCGAGAATTCAGCCTACCATCTGAAATATCCCTGCCTTCACACGGGAGAAATATTTCAGCCCTTCATGTGAACTCGCGTTCACTCGCTCATAAGCAAGACATTCTAGCAATGTTTCTTGCAGAGTTTACTTTTTCATTTGATGTTATTATGTTCTCTGAAACATGGTATCAAGAACACAGTGAAATGCTTATCATAGATGGGTATAGCCACTTCTTTGTTAATCGCGCAGGAAAACGTGGTGGGGGCGTTGCACTGCATGTTAAGCGCGGCATACATTGCGATGTGCTTGAGGAACTCACCTGCACCACGCCCCATTATGAAGTGCTCAGCGTTAAATCGGACAACATTCTGTTTGTCGTGATTTACCGACCACCTACTGGCAACGTGTCTAATTTCTTAGAATTCACTGAAAAACTTTTAGAGCAGGCTTCTTTTCACAAGTACAAAGTTCTTCTTGGTGGCGACATCAACATTAACATGCTCGATGATGGCACTTCGACCCGTGCAACTGTTAACCTTATGGATTCCCTCAGTTTCTGTAGCGTTATCAAAACACCTACTCGTGTGACGGCATCTTGTCAATCGGCTCTCGATAATTTCATAGTTAATGCTGGTACACAGATTTATACAGCCGGGACCATCAGCTATGATATCAGCGACCACTGCCCAATATACGTAATATGCCCATTTTATGTTAATGAAAAGTGCCTGCCTGATACCACGTTCAGTTATAGATGTCTATCTAAGGAAAATATGCAACATTTTCGTGCACTTGCACTGCGCACAGACTGGTCCTCTTTATATAACAAAAAAGATGCTAGTGAGGCATACGACGAATTCCTGTCAATTTTCACTCATCTTTACAATTTATCTTTTCCACTAAAAAAAGGCAAAGTAAAGAAACGTATTAGAAAGCCTTGGGTGCAGCCTCAACACGTTAAGATGATAAGTAAGAAAAATAGGTTATTCAATAGATTTTTATGCACGCGTGAAGAAAGCGATCTCGTTGCATTTAAGAAGTTACGAAATGCAATAAACAAAGAACTGCGAAAGGCTAAAGCCGACTATTATGAAACCCTTTTTGCTTCGGTACAGAGGAAAAATCCAGAAAAAATGTGGAAAATTATCAACGATGCCATAAGACAAAAAAAATGTGAAACAGCCTTTCCATGAAGTCACCCTAAACAATGAAAAGGTCACAGGCGTCGCTTTAACTGAACGCTTCAATAATCAAATGAGACAGAAAGAGCGCAGCGCTCTTTCTGTCTACCCTGTCCTTTTTCCATTGTTCGCACGCTGAAACAATTTTGCACCGAGTGGAAGGTGCAAAAGCTGCTTTTAATTTCATGATGCATGATTGTGAATTCTTAATACAGTATTATAATCTCTTTGCGCCCTGTATATATTTCGGTGCTGTAGCTCAATTGTGTTATGCAGTATAGAGTAGTGAAAGCGGTTCTCAACGTTTGAATTTATGAAAAGATCTGCAAACCGCTAAACTCTTGCTTCTGTTTTTAATACCACTCACTTTTTGCATTCACTTGACACAAAATATCCTTTTTCAACAGGGAAGACAGTGAAGGACTTCAAGGAATTTATTTCAAAAGACGACGCAACCAAGCTTAAAATGCAGGAGCTACGGAAGGACGTTGAAGCTTTTGCAGTCACATTTCCGATGCCTGGATTCACTGACCACTAGTCACACAAATTTTTTCTGTACATAGATGTACAAGACTTGTTGCGACACTTGAATAAAAAGTTGTAGTTTTTATTTTATTTTTATGTATAATTAGCATTACGCAGCATAATATTGCTCATACCGAGCTGGAACAACAAAAGATAAGGTTTGTGAATAGTTTTTATTTTAAGACCATAAATAACACTCCGTGCTGTGGAACTGCAAAAAAAAAACACATTCCACAAGACATGCTTTCCCCCAATTAAATGTGTGCTCCTATGTACAAACAGTCCATGAAATGGTCAAGACCTTGGGTGTTCACTTGGTGAGCAACTTGTGTTGTGGCCATTTTGTAACATTTACTTCTTTGCTTTGCTACTCTTGCTAAAGTAGGCATCAGCTATCAGGCCTGAAAGAGAGAAAACAAACTTGCTTCAGAAAAAAAATTTTGACATACTACTGTGTAACTTTATATAAGCCGCCAGAAATTCAATGACTGCGAGACTCAACATTAAATCCGTACATACTAGACAAGGATCCGAGTGCAAACAGAAGCAGCTTTAACCCCTAGAGGATTCATATATATATTTTTCTCATGGTAACAAAGGACATGCTTGCTGAAAATACAACGAACGTACTTAAAAATAGCATGAAGCAATTTTCAATATATGACCATTAGTTTACAACAAAAAGCGGGACATGCGTGACCCGCGCTATCGACCCGTGATTGACCTTTGGAGATGCTAAGACAACACCTGACTCACTGCGTCAGTGAGCGCACCTAGCTTTTTGCCAGATTTCTGGCACAAAAAGGGAAAAGGGTACTGAGGGGCACTTCATAGACTGTGCCAAAGAAACTGTGGTGGAACTCGTTTCCGGTTGTGGTACGCAATGGGTGCATGCTGCCTGTTGTGATGTGCCAGCAACTTTGTCTGGCCTGTTCACACACCAACCATTGTAGCTCCTTCCCGTTTCTTGTGTCTGTACAAATAAGGACAAGCACTCCTGCGGTGCTTTGTCAGGCCTGTTTGTGTATTATTGAAGCGCCTTTCCTGTTTCTTCTGTCGGTGTAGATAAGGACAAGCACTTCAGTTGTACCAGAATACCCAGCTCATGGATTAAGTTGTGGCTATGAACCAACGCAAGCCACTATCAATGTGATGTCTCCGACTGCACTCTATTCTGCAAATCCATTTGTGAACTCAGTGTATGCCTAAGGTATTTGCTCTTCTTCTAGATCTGGTATATTTGTGTTCTCTTTCACTTCCTGACTGTCTAGAGCATCAATTTTGCCATTCTTTTCTTGGCTCTTAATTTCATGAACGTCCTAGCCACAGCTTTTTGCCTCATTGCCACAAGGCACCGTAGTAAAAAAAAAAAGTGGAGCAGGTTCATGTCATTATTTGCCAAAGGGCTAAGCATTATACTATTCAAAGACATTAAATGGCCAAATACATTTAATTATCTTAATAATTAAGTGCTCAGGAGCTTATAATACTTTCATAGACAGATAACGTCATTGCAAAGATTATGCATTATGGCATTCGCACTGTAGCCAGAACATACGAAAACATTCGTTATATAGGCCACTGTGTGGTGGAGGTGTTGAACTGTAATTATGCAGTTTGTAAACCAACCTATCCGGCATAATTTTGTTAACCTCTTGCAACAAACGCTCTTGTGCAACTAGTAAAACATTTCTATTGTGCACACTTATGTCAACCAAACAACAGGAAATGCTAACTAGTTTGCCAAAACATGGCACAATATAATGAAATTTATATGTCCCATGTGCACATGAATTAATAAGAACAGCTTTACCAGGAGACAAGCAAATCTGTCTCGTTTTAAAATGCAAAGACTGTGGGTGCGACATCAGTGAACTTTTCCACTACATCAGCAACTAAATACCTCACCTGAAAAAACGAGCACAACGCCGATCCATTGTCGTGTGCCAAGAGGATTGTTAAATATTATCACAGATCCAAGAACTGTAAAGAATTTTCTTGTCGTCGTGACAACTGAGCAAGGCAGTGGCCCGAATTCACTCACTGTTCGGAAGATCAAAGTCTGAAAGCAAGAACATAACTTTTGGCTTACGTACGGTAGTACTCGAACACTACGACATTTATTTATCACAAAAACCGTAGAGGCCGAAAAACGTTACAGAAGGGCTACCAAAGCAGAAATTTTGGCCTCACATTTTTTTGTTGCAATGCGTTGCTGAAGACCAGATGACACGGCACATCGTTTGCTGCAGTGCCCAACAGATAATTAATTACAAGCTCCTCATTACCACCAACCAGTCTCGATTCTGACTTGGAGAGCTCTAAAAACAATGAGCTGCTGAGTGCAACTATCACCACCTAGCAAGTGCAACATTCAACTACGTCAGCACTCAGAACTGTGACGCACCTCTGCACAGTCCGCATCCTTATGAACAAGAAACGAAACAGCAGTGTTGCTAAACACAAAACTTTCAACGTGCACCATGGCCAGGGGCTCGCGAGCAGTTGCCTAGTAAACAAACTGCTGGTGCAAATGCGGCAAAAAATAAATGGCGGCTACAGCATCATCATAACTTGTTGCAGAATGGTCACGTAAGGTAAGTAGGGGGTAACCAAGGGTCACCTTAAAGGGTGTCGATACCGTGAAGGAGTCGATTGCTCACTGCAAACTCCAAAACTAATTTACAATACCTTCCTAGCTCACTGTTCATATTTTGCATTCCCTGTTGATATACTGCAGGACATACGCACTTTCACGAGAATCTATCGCATAAGCTATGTCAGCCGCAAAATTTTGTGATGGAACCCCTTAAACTTCTCAGCCTGTTAGCAGATATTTTGTTTACAGACAGGAAAACCGAGATGAACAAGGCTCTCTGTGTGCGTGCATGCATGTGTGTATTTCTCTCTCTCTACCACTCCTTACTCTCTATCTCATGCATGCCCGCATGTGTGTTCCTTCTCTTTATAAGTCCAACCCCTTTATAAGACACTGAAGTAACAGATAGGTGGATATAAGAGACATCAGTATGCCTTCATAGAAACAGAAGTTGATAAAAAATGCATAAGTGGTGCCCTGCTTATAAGACACCTCATATAAAAGACAGCAATTGCTCCCCGGTGTATCTCTTTTATCAAGGTGTTCTACTGCATTTCGCTTTGTGACACATTTCAGGTGGCGGCATTACACTCTTTTTTATCAATTAAGTAAGCCGCCTCTCACAACAAAAAGGTAAGACTGCACAGCAGTGAAGTAAAGTGATATATTATAAATCAGCAAGCTTATATTAGCCCGCAAGTATGCAGCCCGAAACCACGATTTGATTATGAGCCCTGTAGTGGGGAACTCTGGGCAATGCCTGACCACTTTGGGTTCTTTAATATCCCCCTCAGCGGCGGTGTGTACAATTGTACACATCAACTTCAAAGGCGCCTTGTGCACTACGTGTTTCCTCAAATAGCTTGAGACTTGGTACGTATTTTTGTGGAGGCTTCCTGCATTAGACAAATAGTAGTAATTTAACTGTATTGTGTGCCATATTGCTTCACAAGGTCACTTTGCAGGAGAAAATATTATGTTCCACAACCGTTTGACATGGCGCATTCCAGTATCAACTTAAGAGTTCATTTTGTTCTGTGCTTAAAACTAATTGCAGCATAAAAAAACAAACTGAATGCCTTTTGGGCCTAATGAAGCTTTTTTTATGCAAAAACAGTACTTCAGTGATTGCACTATAATTAGGTACTTAATTACATGCTAATTGTTACTAGCTACTAAAACTCACAGAAAACAATGTCTTCCTTCATTTTCTTGGAATGTAATACCAAGTGCCTTAAAATCAAGTCATGCGAATTTGACGAACATGCAGGCAGTGAATCATAATTTACGCCTGATGGAGATATCCACCTACATCTAGATACGCTGAGTGCTTTTGCATTTCGGCTTATCGTAACTATGCTGCAGTAGCCGGTAAGTGAAACCATATCCTCAAACTTAGCATGACAATAGCTTGACCACTTAATTGCTACAGTGGGAATCTTATATATCAGTGACGTACATTTTGTCGGAGTTTAAAATCTATTTGTGTGGCGTGCCAGTGAAACAGAATTTCAAACTGCGTTCTCCCATATTTTAATATACATCAGTAGATCCACAAATGCCCACCTTTTTTTTTATCCAAAATAAAACAGGATATGGGGGAAGATAGAAGCTTATGGTGAAAAATGTGTTAAAGTGTTGTGCTAGGAGAAAGAGTTTGGACAAGCGAACTTTTCTCCAAGGTTGCTGCTGCTTTCCTTAGGGCTTGTGCATATATGCTTCATACCCTCTCGTACAATCCCAACAAAGGAGGGGAGGAGGCACTGTGAACGTGGGGGTTGGACTTCACTTGATTTCACTTAACGCACACACACTAAAGAAAGCTGCTGCAGCCTTGAAGAAGACAGTCCACTAGTCAAAATGTGTTCTAGAACACCCCCTACTCACGAGTTTCTCATGTATAAACATTGTTTATTTGGGCCTATTACTACACAGATTTGATGCAAATGAGTTTTATGCGAACTGGACTTTTTTATGACAAAGAGATCAAACTTTACTCACCTGTCCTAGAGCCCCCGTGATGGAAAAGAGTAAAATGTTTGTAATGAGTGATGGGTATTTTTGAATAAAATGTATAAAGTCCAAGATCTCCCATGTAAATAGTTGAGCTGAAACAAAGACGAGAGAGGCTTAACGCTGTGGGCTGCCTTTATCCAGAACAGAAAGCACATCAACCCACCATATGACACCCTAATCAAATGTATCAGTTACTTTCACTCACTCCATGCATGCTAAAAACAAACACTGGAGTTAAGATTGGGTGATGGAGGTAATCATGATGGTTTGGATGATCACGACGACATGTAGACAGGCCCGGTTGCTATGTTCCTGGCAAACTTCAGTTTATTTACACATCGACACCTATTTACAAGCAAAGGCCAGGGCGGCCTCCAAACCAATCGCAGTGCAAGAACTGAGCTGTATCCATGCAGGCCTTACTTGCCGAGCCCTTAGTATACTGCACACGTCGACACCAACTTCTCGATGTAGT